TGAGAAAAGAACCACTTCTTTTCTGTAGCTTTGGTGACAAACGAGCGAGTTTAGATCTCCACTCTGAAAAAGGTTTATCTTTATATCAGATGTTTACTCTGATTAGAAGAATGGGAGAGAAAAAGTTTCTTATGTTGTTCGTATGTATGATAACAGAGAGACAATTGACTCATATACGATTGCCGCATCACCAAGTTTCGGACTCCTACGACTTGGATCCAGTATTATATCTGAAGTTGATAGTAGAGAGTTCTTGGACTCGGATGTGAAGACACATTTACTCGCTGAAAAGGAAAAAGTTCAGGAGCAAAATGTCGTGGATGAAATCTCAGTAGCAAAGGCATCTTGGTCAGAGAAGGCTTCTTCATTGCATGAGCAACTGGTTGGGGAATTACCAATTTCCTGTGGATGCAGCTTAACTCAGACTATATTCAATGGTAAGAAAAACCTTAATGTTGTTCAGAGTCTTTTTTTCTTTTATATCAGTAATTCAGTATCTTTGACAATCTGAACGAGCAGGATGAAACAACTTCCAGTGAATAGCTTTACTATGGGCTATACCTGAAAATCTACCTAGGAGGGAGATCTTAGGATTTTGAAATCAGAAGTGCTGAATCTGCTAATAAGTGATAATCTGAGATTAATCTCTTTTTATCTGTTTTAGGTGTCAATGTCATGGCTGGAGTTGGACTGCTCTCTACTCCTTATACAGTGAAAGAAGCTGGTTGGGCTAGTTTGTTAGTGTTGGTAATTTTTGCAGTTATATGTTGGTACACAGCTTCTCTTATGAGGCATTGCTTCAAGAGCAGGGAAGGAATCACAACCTATCCCGATATTGGAGAAGCTGCATTTGGAAAATTTGGACGCCTTATTATATCTGTGAGTTAGTTTAATCTGTAGTTACTTGATCCTATGCGCAATCAGTTCCAAGTTTCAGAAGTTTAATCTACAGTTGTTTGATGCCTTGGTCCTATGTGCAATCAGTTCCAAGTTTCAGCTATGGAAATCTTGTGGATGAGTAATTTTAAGATTTAACTTTAATAGCCCCTCCCTTTGTATCCTAATAATGTAGTCCGGTGTCATCTTTTTTTAGTGGGACTAAATCTTTCCCTGATTTTCTTCATTGCTCGTTTAGGTTAATTGTTTACCCTTTGTTTAGTAATTAACCACAAATTAGTAGAATGTCAATTAACTATTTTATGTGTTTAGGATGTGTCCATGCTTTCTTTCACCTAGTTTCCTACCAATCCTCCTTCTAAAACTACCAAAGGGCGCCTTTCCGTCGGTAAGTCACCAGTTTTGCCTTCTTCTTTCCACTGTTCCTCTATCATCAACCACATTCTGTTTGCCTTTCACCTACTTGGATATATTAGGATAAAAAGAAATAACTGGCGGATTCAAGCTAGTAGTTGGATACTCCAAAAAGCTTGTCGGTAACAGCAATGTCCACTTTTATCCCTACCAAGTACCAACTCCACTATGTGACTTTCATTTGCTTCTGTTACTATAAAACCTTTTATCATAGAATGCTTCCAGCTGTTAGTTAAAATGTTACTTCATGTTAGATCAATTCAGTTCATGGAGGAACAAATGTTAGTAATTTGGACCCAGTAAATGTAGCTTTCTGAACTGCTAGCATATAGTTTTTCAGTTGGATGGACATATTGTGATTTGCTGGGGGAGTTTTTATTTCATGATGCCTACATGGAACAATACCAACCTTCTTTTTGGCTTAAATATAAAGTTACTGGCTGAAAATATGAGTAAGCTGATTTATGCTTACAGGGACAAAGGAAAAAATTGGTTGCTCGTTATAGATTGTTCGTCTTTCCTGACAATTTTCTGATGCTGTTCTGCTATTTCTTTGCAGATTATCTTGTACATTGAGCTATATGTAAGTGAAGATTGGGTTTAGACCCTGTAGTTTCATTGTTCACCTAGACTCCTTAACATCAGACCTCTAACATGTGTTCCACCAATGCAGTCATATTGTGTAGAATATATAATTTTGGAAGGAGATAACCTTACTACTCTTTTTCCCGGAACTTCACTAAACTGGGATGGCCTTAAACTTGATTCGACTCACTTCTTTGGGATCCTGACTGCCCTAGTTGTTCTGCCAACTGTTTGGTTGAGGGACCTTCGTGTAATATCATACCTCTCAGGTGCTCTTTTGACCAACATAAAGCGCTGACGTTGCTTTAAACAGTAGTACTTTGGCATGGATGGTTTTCAACCATCATCTGAGAATCTTATTGATGTATTTGCAGCCTGCGGGGTCCTTGCGACTATAATAATTGCTCTGTGTGTGCTTTTCCTTGGTACGGTGGATGGAGTCGGATTTCATAATACCAGTCAGGTTCTGAACTGGAGTGGGATTCCTTTTGCTATTGGGGTATATGGCTTTTGCTTCTCTGGGCACTCAGTGTTCCCAAACATCTACCAATCTATGGCTGACAAATCAAAATTCAATGACGCAGTCACAATATGGTATGGTTTTCTACTCTTGAATTGTTTTATGCATTTTCCTCAATGGTCCGTTAATGACCAAAACTTTGTTATGCAGCTTTATTCTGTGTATTCTAATATATGGAGGTGTTGCAATAATGGGGTATCTCATGTTTGGTCAAAGCACATTGTCTCAGATTACTTTAAATATGCCTGAGGATTCAATCGCTTCAAGAATAGCAGTATGGACCACTGTATGTATGATTTCTGTTTTTCCCTTCAAAATATTCCTGAATCTTATTTGGAAATCATTAATTTTTATCTTTATTCTTGCTCTACCGTGCAGGTTATCAACCCATTCACGAAGTATCCTTTTACACTCGGACTTATTGACATTTCTTTTTCCAGGAAATACCACTATCATCCAACGCTTTGCAAATGCATCACCACTTCACAAACTCGCAGTACATTCCGTCTGCCATCAACAACACTCTACGTGTTTGCGACTTACTCCTCGTGATCGTTGTAATTACCCGGCCTGCCATATTAAGTATTTTTGCTCCAATCCCCTATTTATTTTCTCCTCTATGTTTTATTATGGTAATGTGACTTTCTGGGGGTGTTTGGTTTATGTTCGGGTGAGTTTCANCTTATTGACATTTCTTTTTCCAGGAAATACCACTATCATCCAACGCTTTGCAAATGCATCACCACTTCACAAACTCGCAGTACATTCCGTC